GCTGTTGAGGAGGTTCCCGCTATCGAGGAGACCCCCGCCGTCGAAGAGACTCCCGCTCTCGAGACCGCTACTGTGAAGGAAACCCCCGCTGTCGAGGAAACCCCAGCTGTCGAGAAGACTCCCGCCGTCGAAGAGACTCCCGCCGTCGAGACTCCTGCTGGTGAGGAGGTTTCTGCTGTCGAGGAAGCCCCTGCTGTTGAGGAGACCCACGCCCTTCACGAGAGCGCTACTCCAGAAGTCACCACCGAGAAGTCTCAGGAAGAGCCTAAGGAAGCCCCTGTTGTTGAAGAAACTCACACTGAGGAGACTCTCCCCGAGGTGCCTGCAGCAATCGTTGCTGACGAGCCTAAGGAGGCACCGGTTGTTGAGGAGACCCCCATCGAGAAGACTATCGATGAGGTTGAGCCGACTGCAGCAGCTGTGGAGGAGCCTGTCGCTGTGCCCGTCCAAGAGCCTGTTGAGGAGTCTGTTCCTGAGGTCGCCGAGAAGGAGGCAGTTGTTGAAGCGCCCGCCGCGGAAGACTTTATTCCTGCAGTCATCAAGGAAGACGTTGCCCGCGTGACGGAAAGTGCCGACGAGCCTGTTGCTGCTGAGCCAACACCCGAGACTCTTGCATCTGAGTCTGCTCCCGAGACTACTCCGGTCGAGGCGGCCGAGGAACCCCAAGTGCAGGAGGAGGAGCAACTTGCTGAACGTGTGTCTTTCGCCGAGATTGAAGGCAAGGAGGTGCAAGCCCCCATCAATGGAGTCATCAACACGCAGACGGCTGCCCAAGAGGAAGTCACCGACGCTGCTAGCGCCGTCAAGGAAGATACCCCTGTCGAGCCGGCTTCGTTGCAGTCGGAGGAAGTCAGCAGAGAAGTTGTGCCTGAAGATTCTGTCGCTTCTGAACCTGTTGCTGAGGCTGCTACGGAGCAAGAGTCCCCCAAGGACAGTCTTCTGACACCCGAGATTATTGCCGCCGGCGCTGCCGCCGCCGTTGCTGCCGGAACTGCTGCTGCCGTTGGAGCCGCTTCGGTCTCCCACAAGGGGGCTGAGGCTGCTGCACCTGCTGAGACCAAATCACAGGAACCCCAGCCCGAGAACAAGGACAAGGCCGTCAACGTTGTGCCTGGAACTTGGCCCACTGAGGGTAAGAGCTCTCTGGCCACGAGTAAGCAGCTCGGAACTGACCCTGATGCAGCCCACGCCGGTGACGACGCCGCCAAATCGACCCGCCAGCCCACCGCCGAATCGTCATCGAACGCTGCCGACAAGGCCGTGGCCACCAAGGGAGATGAGAACCCTCGCTCACAGAGTCAAAATCGGTCAGTCACCGCTGTTTCTCTGAATCATAAGAAGCATGACAGCTGGTTGAAGACTATCTTACGCGCTGTGTTTACCAATTTCTTTGGAGCAATCTTTTCTCCCTTCCGCCGTCGCGGAGGGAACAACCAATAGATGTGTCTCCTGGAGATGCTGTTTTCAATGAAGCCCTTTCCTTGGGAAGAGTGGAGATTTGTCCAGAGTTTTGCTGCTTACGTTTGTTTATTGCCAACGCTAATGTGAATCAGGAGTCTGTTCTTGATGACCGTTTTTGCTGCCCCCTTGCTCGCATTTGTTTGGCACGCATATACCCGCTGAGTTGTTCGAATTTCTTGATGCGAACCTGCGCCGCTCGTTTTTATTACTCGAATCGATTCCCCTGTATTTGATATCTTCGATGGTTTTCTAGGACGAGTATGTTTATCGCTAGTGTTATTTTACTCTGCTCAAGATTGTTCGAGTGTTTTATCTGAAGTGTTCCATGGGGAGGGCAAGACTGCTGTCTTTTCCGTGGCAGTGCAGTTGCAGTTGCAGTCTACAGTTTACAGTTTTGCAGTTTGTGCACAGTTAAGACGCAGATTATTGTTTACCCCATAGCATATAATGATGTCCTATGATTGATGATAATGAGATTACTGGTTCAATTACTTGTTTGTCTTGGTGTCTCTTGTTTATCACAGAATTATACATTGATTACACTGGGAAGTTGATTCGATCACAACCACAGTAGCCCTATGATGGTTGATCACGCCTTAAACCTAGTTCTGCATCACCAGTATCGAGTAGTAAAACGGTCTGTAGTTGGCGGGTTAGGGCTTCTAATCATCCTCGTACCCTCCAATCAGCACGAATGAAAAGTCAATTATCTCTAGCCATGATTTTATAGATATATTTATTTTATACTATTTATTATTTTAACATGAAAAAATTGATAGAAACTCTAGTAAATACTACTGCTCTGATTTCAAAACCTTCATCAAATTCAAAACTCGTCAAAATCTAAAATTGATATTCTTATATATAAGATTCCGATATGTGGTCAGCCTCTGATCGACCCGGAGCTTCGCTCGCAGATTGGAGAGGAACCCGGATCCTTGAATAACTCAGCCCACAAGAGTTCCAGCCATTGCAGGGGAAGGTAGATTGCTGCCGGACGGGACGGTGTTTTCTTTTTTAGGATGGCAGGGCGAGATTTTTGAACTGGGCGGTGGTCTCCTGGATGGCGCGTTCGACGGGGAGGCGCTCCATGGCACTGGCGCCGTAGAAGCCATGCAAGCCGCGCACGCGCTCCAGGACGAAGCGGGCGTCGGCGGGCGTGGCGATGGGGCCGCCGTGGCACAGGACGAGGATGTCCGGGCGGCGGCGCACGGCGGCGTCGCGGATGGCCTGGATCTCGGCGACGCACTGGTCCCGCGTCTTGGCGGAGCGGGCGCCGACGGCCCCGGCGGTGGTCAGCCCCATGTGGGCGACGAGGATGTCGGCGCCGGCGTCGGCCATGGCCTCGGCGTCGGCCGGGGTGAAGACGTAGGGGGTGGTCAGGAGGCCGCGCGCGGCGGCGCAGCGCACGAGCGCCACCTCCCGGCCGTACCCCATGCCCGTCGCCTCGAGGTGGGCGCGGAACCGCCCATCGATCAGCCCCACCGTCGGGAAGTTCTGCACCCCCGCGTAGCCGAGCGCCTCCAGCCGGGCCAGGAACCGCGGCCCGTCCATGAACGGGTCGGTGCCGCACACCCCCGCGATCACCGGCGTCGTCCGCCGCACCGCCCCCAGCACCTCCGCCGCCATCTCCTCCACCGTCGCGTTGGCGTTGCTGTACGGCATCAGCCCCGCCAGGCTGCCGCACCCGGCCATCCGGAACCGCCCGCTGTTGTACACGATGATCAGGTCGATGCCGCCCGCCTCCGCCGCTTTGGCCGACAGTCCGATTCCTGGTGGTGGATCTCCTTTAGTGATGCGGAATCGAGACAAGAAAGACACCAAACCCACACACACACACACACACACAGAAGGGAGACGAGGGCAATGAAGTAGGGACAGGACGGGACAGGACATACCGGCTCCGGCTCCGATGATGGGCTTCCCGTCTTGAATTTGACGGCGAAGCCGGTCAAGAATTTCACTGCGACTGACAGGTGACGCCATCTCTGAAGAGGG